GTAATTGATAAATGATTGACTGATCATCACCTACAAACATAATTAGCGAACAACAACTAAAATCATCTTCTGGTGAACACGCTCTATAGAAAACAATAATCTATTGTGTACAACTCATTATTTACCTCTGTTACAGTTAAACACTATTGTTGATTATTGAAGAATACCAGTCGAGCGTGAAAAGCTTACTACTTAAAATATCTGCAAATTAAAAGCGACTTTAACTACTACATTTTTAAGTTACATTTCGCTTATTCATTTACAAACTCTTATTTTGCTTGTAATGTATCTTTTTTCATTTTCACTAGTGTAAATTTCATGGTCCTCTTTGTTAGTTGCACTTCTGTTTCAGTGAATGAAGTCGAGCACAACCTGTATGTCGTTTAATTTTCTACTTTATGTCTTAGGTGATAGAGCGCTTATAATATTAAATCAGTTAATGTTAACGGCTACGAAATTAAATTTATGGTGCGGTATTGGCAGTAGCGAGGAATTCCATTGAAAATACGACAATATATTTACTTTAATAGGCTTGCCTTTGAAGCACAACAAGGAATACTAATTATTTCACTAGATAAATGCAATGGTATAAAATTCTGTTGTCAGTGATTTAATAGTTTATTATGTACACTGAATTATTAGATACTAATAGCCCGCCGCGGCTTCTCACTGGGTGATCACAACTTTGGGACTTTTATTTATACTATATACTAACTTAATATACCTACCTAATTATAGCCTAATATTGTATAAGTAGTGCTAGTAGAAGATACAAAGGAAACAAATAAGTAAGGAATTAAAGGAAGTAATGGGGACTGTTACTAGCACCAAATAATTATTTTATGTTTGAGTCTATGGTAATAGATTATATTATCTGTGGTAATAGCAATGCATAAGTGCCAGAGGATGGCACCATTGATTCCTTGAGCTCTCTGGTTTTCTCGACTTTGTCTAACCTACGTTGCTCGGTGTAATTAAATTAATGTGTGATTAACATATAATAAGTTTAGTTTAACAAAGATGTTTTTATCATCATCAGCAACCCACAGTTCACGTTCTAAACAGGGACTAGTAGCCTTATTGCTGCCAACATCAATTCAACAACAACACAGTTGCCCTGGAATCCATCATCTTTACTTCCTGGTGACTTTGCTACGCTAGGCTAACCTCATCTTATTTTTTTCCCCGCCAGTGCAACCAGGGGAACTATTCCATATTCATCAATTAAAAAAAATACACAGAAATACTAATGAATACGACTTTGTACAATAATAATAATGACATGGACAATTCACATAACGCCATCTAGATCCAAGTTAAGCAAAGCAGGTTTGATATGAATACTATTTTTTGTGTTAATATTATACAAACATAATTTAAATAGAAAACATGCAGACCGATATAAAAATCACACTCATGAATACAAACGAATCGAACCCGCGATCATTGGCAGTAAAGAACTGTGCTAAACCATCAAGATCGATAATGTTTTCCACTTCTGGTGCTCAGATTGGAAGTTACTTTTGGTAACATATATATACTATTATAAATAGAGAGAGAGCGGTATATATACGTAAAAGTATACTCCGGAACAGCTGCTAGACTACACTCGAGAACAAATGAGAACTGTCAGCACGCAATACATTGATCTCGAACATTCCAGATTGTTCTAGATCACTCCGTCAACAAGTTATTACAACAAGGTATCCTGTCAGGGTTTTTATTCATTAATTGCCAGACACTATAAACGTGTCAGGCTATTTAAAGAATAAATCTATTTTACATGTTTATAGAACATGTATCTTTTGTATCTCAGTAATTTTTCTAGTGTCAATCTATAAACAATATTATTTTAATATTTTATCTACTGCGAAAATTTTAACAAACTCACTAATATTTGAGCACCTCCGGGGCGGGCCACTAGTTTACAATATTTATAAAGTGATTAAATGTGTATCTATAGAGAATCGGTTATAGCACACATCTGCTTCCAGATTTCAAGTAGAACTCAAATACATGGATATTCAATTAACCACAACACGGAGATGTCATATGACGAACATGTGGTTAAAGGGCACGTGCGGGCTTGTTACTGTTTTTTTAGTCCGCACTTAAATTTTAATATTTAGCTATTTTTATCTTAGATTGATTTATCTATTCACTATTGTAAACAAATTACAACGTATACATTCATGACTGTTATTCTAAATGGGATGGTCAGAGGTATTGTTAAAGGTCGATGTTGTTGTAGTTCAGTTTAAAAAGATGATATTGTATTATTGATAGTGTAATATACACTTAATATATGTGTATATTTTAGTAATCCAAATGTATAATAATAAGGAAATGGTTTATTAAAGTGACCATAATGTTATATGTCGAGACAAAGATCGCGTTGATGTCTTTTTCAGCAAAATGCTGTTTTCGAGAATTTATAACTTTATTAACGTTATTCCACATATATTTTAATACACGTTCTATCACTCTACAACCACTACCATCATTATTAACTATATAATGCTTTCCATCACATTTATAAAATAATAGTAAACAATTAAAACCAAAAATTAATCTGAGGGACGACAGTAACACCAAATGCTATATCATTGCTAAACTTAGACCAATGTTTCGTTTAATTTTAGATATGGATTTTGTTAGGTACTTTCTTCTTCTCATGCATTTCTACCCTCAGGCAGCTGTGATTATATAGCTGTGTTTGTGGTATAATGTAGGTAATATGATGCCGGCATAGAACCTTCTGTAATGGATAGTATTTGTAATGATGACTAGTGACCGTATGATAGTAGTAGAGAGTAGGATCTAGTCGATTTTTACGTGATCCCGCCGGAAGATGTACAGTTACATTGATTATAATTAAATTTGTAAAGTTACTATAGAATATACCTAGAGGTCACGCAGTGTTCGAAATTTGACCAGAGATTTTAACAATAAACAAAACAGTATACGCGTATACTATATATATGTATATATATATATATATATATATATATACGAGTATATAGTATTTTCTTTATGATTAATTTATAAAAAAAAGTATTCTGTAATCTATAGATACTCCTTCTCTATATAAATTATAAGTGTTGTTCACAATACTTGTTCAAAATATTTTTAAGTATATCGTGTATATCGAGGTGAAGTCATTACAATGAACTAATTTACTTCCGATGGTCGCAGGTTCGATTCCTCGCATGGTACAAACATTTGTATTCATTAGTATGACTTGTTTGTGTCGGTCTGGATTCTATGTATACCAATACTTACATATATATATTACAAAAAATATGTATTTAAATATTTGTAGCAGTTGTTTAGTACTCATAACAGAACTCTGATCTATTCTAGATGGCGCAGTCTGAATTATCCAGATTTGAATATTATTATATTAAGGCGCAACAAGTGTACCCATAACTACGTAAATCTTTTCAATTAAAATTAGGTTTTTATACTATTGTATAATTTAAAATAATATTATCTACTTTATAATGTAGGTATATTAGATGGGCATGTGAAACAATTTTAGTAAGTATTTTTAAATGTAATAATTTAGAGTATTGTGATTGGTGTAGAAATAGCAAATATTTAAATATAACTACAACAGTATGATTGAAAAATTTTCAGCCGTAACAAAGTAGTGTCATAGTAACCTTAAACATAGGAGATAAGTAATACCTACCTACTTATAAATGTGGCGCTTCAGAAATGCATTAAACCAGTTAATTTTGACCATACCATTAAAAATAATTTTAATTACTTCAATTTCAGCACAAGTTAATTGCCGTTAATACTATATTTTTTACATTATTTCATTATTTTTTATAGTCCTTTTAGATATAAATTACAGATTGCTAGTTTTATTCCTAATGGTATTAAAAAATCTATATTAAATTTGAAATACAATTGAACACCAACCAATTGTCGACCAGTCTCGGTGGCGCGTTGCGGCGAAGACATCCGAACGTCCGGACACGTGCTCTCGCGCACATTGCGCCGGCGCAGGCCAGCTTCGCCGTGATTGGACGCCACCGCCCCTCCCACCGCGGCGGCTCGCGCGCGATCTGCTGACTCATACCTCCGTACCAGGAATCAAATTTCATCTACTCCCGATTTGCTGCTCCATCCTTTTCTTTTATCATATGGAGCGAGATGGATAGCGAGATTTATCTATGAGAGAATTTTTAATTCAGGATGAAGGGTCTGTTGTAAAAATTGGAACAGTTTTTTACTATAATTAGTCTGGAATGTTACTATGTGAGACTACAGAATAAATATTTAATACCATAATCTTTAATGACTGTATAAGTTAGTGGCTTATATTTATTATTTTAATACTGTACCGAATACGCAGGTAGTAATTTATAAAAATGAAATTATGTACTGTCTTACATAATTGTTTATATATTTAATGGGTACCTACCAACGAAGGTGTGTAGATATATGATATATTAATACATTATTCTATATTGAATAAAAACAGAATTGAAAATAGTTAATTGTTATAAAAAGCCGCAGATATGTCTAGTGCAGAACTGAGAGCAAAAACTCGTCACCAATCCTGTCCAAGTTATTCATCTTAGATCATCTGAAGCTATGCTTATAAAATCGCATCTTGAGATAACTAGTCTGCAACTAAATAAGTATGTAAGAAATTGCATTCATTGTTGCAGCAAAAACTAGATCACTGTCGGCCATGTTCCCTTAATAAGTACTTAAGAAGATTAAATTGAATAATGATCCTATTGTATACCTCGATACTAATTTTGTCACACAAACAAAACAATTGCTTACCGAACAAGATCGTCATTACAATATTATTCAACGATAGCCGAATTGCATAACGTCAACCTAATGACCTAAACACGACAAAGATTACTCGAAAAAAACACAGAAGTGCGAGACCAATCGGGCGGTATGACAGGTACGGCCTCCCACCATACGACTCCGCCTCGAGAGTGAAGCCGGTCCGCCGGCAGACGTAACCGTGCTGCGACCGACCGCGCTCATGTAAAAGTACGCGGAACCGCCCATTGCAGAATGAAGTGTCCGTGGTTGTTTGTGTTCACTGTTTTGTGTATGAGGTGCGAAGCCGCCGGCAACAAGCCGCGGAGAGGACGCGGCAGCATGTGGTGGTAAGTACTACCCATTACTGCTTTAACGGACTACAAGACTAGCAGGTCTACTCTGGAGTTCAATCACAATATCAATTTTAATCCAATATACAAATCGGTAACCATGTGCCTATATCACTTAATTTTTACACCGATCACTAAATATGTAATTAATACGTTGCTAATCTATGTTCAAGAGTATAAAAAAGTGCGAATCGGTATTGAAAGTCATTGGATCGGATTTTGTTTCTAGATTAGACGTTGGAATGTTTGAGATTTTGAGTTAGTATAGCAAGAAAGTGAATTTTTGAAATTCTAACAAAAATACATTTTATGAAACTTTATAGTGGAATTTATTTTTTAAATGGAAAATTCGTGTGCATTTTATATACAGTTATAGTTAATAGATAAGCTTACTATGCTAGGTGTAATATTGATTCTCAATTCTACATACTAATTAACAGCGAGCGTTTTATTACGAGTATGCACCCGCCTGTAATACATAACTAGGTAGTAGCAGATGGTTAACTAATTACTCCATGCACTTATAACACGTTACTGGTGACAGTTCTGTTGACATTTTAACATTATTCACTGCAAAACAACAGTTCAGAGAGACAACAAAAGTAATGCTAAGTAATCCCTATTTCATAATAATCTTTACTAAGAATGATTATTGCGAAAGTGTGTCTATCATATATTTAATACTGAACAGCTGAAAGGATCCTAATGAAATTTTACTCAATATAATAACAATATTCAATCTAATGGAAAATAGGAAAAGTCATCTGTTACAGTTAGTAATGTACTTTAGGCAAAATTTAATGATTGGTTGAATTCAGTAAACCGTCGTGCCTTTCTTATAAACTATCTTGTGATAACAAAAATAACTTAATTCACACATCTAGTCCCAAGCTAAGCAGAGTTTGTTTTATAGGTACCTACTAGGCAACTGACACAAATACTTATTTTTTTTAAAATAGATTTATACATAATATAAGTATACAAATAAAATAAACAAACATCAATAAAAAAATCTTATGAATAAAAAAACAAATGTTTGTACTGTGCGTGAAATCAAACCCGTCACCATCGGAAGCAAGACGGTATGCTAAACCGCTATACCACCGAGGCCGTAAATAAAAATATCAGTTAAACAATCTCTCGTATTAAATATTTAAATATTATTAAAAGTTACACACTTCCGCGTGTCTGTGCTTATCTTAAGTTCATACATAGTGCACGCTATGTAGCCAGATGTTCTTACCTTCATAAACAGTTGTAATTAGCGACTCATTAATAAAGGCGTAAACACACTCGCGGGGGATCGATAATGATGAATAAATACCTTTTACGTTGTACACAATAAATGAATTGTGTGAAACGTGTAGTAAAAGGACAATTAATGCGCGTGCGCAATTTAGTTTGTTGTTTTAATACATACGAGTATATACCGTCACAATTGTTATTATGATGCATTTTTTTAATGGATGGTAATGGTACGGCCTATGCTAACGGTTTACTTTGTCAGGTCATCAGAGGAATATCATAAAATGAACATGAGGTCAGGTTAGTTAGCCAGACGTGAGAAATTCTCAAGGAATTTATAACGACGATTTCGAGGAGGAATCGTGAAGGTCAACCTGATATGGTGATATGGCCCATTGCTAGCAATGGGGACATTACTAACAATCCCCTTCCTGCCAGTAAGAAACTAATTATTAATTGTTAACCTCATGGAGAAATTCAACACTTGACATGACCAAATTTCCTTGGGCATTAAAATCCAACGTGGCAGTGGCGAACCTACTGCTTTATTTCGATTTGAGTAGGTTTTGTTATCCATGTTTCCTTTACCGGAGAGTCAGTGAAAACTATAAATAGACAGTCAGTCAGATTCAGTCAGTTCTAATGTCAGTCAGATTTCAACTCACGACCTTGTGGGGTAAGTCATATAATGAACCATTACAACGCTCTCATTTTAGTTTAGCGTCATCCTTATTAAAGTTTGGTGCAAGTAAAATGCAAGCTATGTGGAAATACTTTTTAAATACTACTTTCGATTCAATTTAAAAGTACTCGATATCATAATATCACTACCCCTAAATAATAATCTGTACCTACAAATTTTAGACAGACTATTCTTCCAATTCTTTTATAATTAACAATAATAATAGAAATTACTGATGACTAAAATTATCGGTTATTTTAGTTTGAAGTTACGTATAATATTTATTGGACTTAGCGCAATATCCTAGAATAAACTACGCCCGTCACCCGTCGCGTCTCGCGATGACTGACATCTGTGTATTTGTCCACACTATCATGTGCTCCTGGAATGTTACTTCTAATCCTCCCGGGTAGACTATTATATCTATTAGACCTACATTACAATTAATAGAATTATCATAATAAAAAGTGATATAAGAAAATTGTATTTTAACATAGTGGCCTTCATAAAGATATTAAGTGCAGGATGGAAAATATAAGGTTGGTGACAAATTGAAAACATATATGTATATATGCCATTTCGTCTCAAGGTAAGCAGAGCTTGTATTATAAGTACTATACAACTGACATAAATACTTATTTTTTTTTGTATATACAAACTGTCATACTTATAAATACAAATGTTTGTACGGTGCGAGAAATCGAACTCGCGACTATCGGAAGTAAAGTGGTGTCCTGAACTGCTAGACCACCAAGGAAGTTAATCTTAATAAATAATTAACATAGTACCTATGTTCTTCATTATTTAAAAGTCATCGATTACATGCAAAAGGTTCTTTCCTCTTTTGAAATACCTACTACGAAGATATTAAAGATAATTTAGAATTGACTATTTGTAATAATTGTTGTAAGTTAATACAATTCTAATTATTTAAATATTATATCTATGAGCAAGTGTATAAAACTTTTTTGGCGCTTAATATAAATTTGACCACCCTTGACGCCGTGATCAGCAGTTGTACTGAAGTCTAACGTCCTTACATCATCATTCTTTACTTCTATTATAATTGCAACAATTACAAACAATTGTATTTGCTGGTACCCATTTATATTAATTGTTAATTTACTTAAGTATTTATTACTGAATATAAATTCATATTATTTCAATTAAATATTGATTTGCTTTTAGAAAGCAGCCATGTAAAAAATATAGCTCATCATACAAAAAGATTTTTGTTTACTGTAATTTATAAGAAAAACATTAAGGCAACGATTTAGTTAAAGAAGAAAAATTACATATCTAATACAAAAAACCTATTCAGGTAGGTAATATAGGTACCTAATTTACTAGTGTCATTAATATAACTAATTCTTTACTAGCCAATTTGTCTACTGGTACCTATCTAATACCTATATTCATCTAGGTATTTAAGCTATAATATATTTTACAAAAATAATATTCAAATATCAAATATAGCTACCTATAGGTATATATAGTAAGTACATATAGGTACTTATATTAATAAAAATTTATAATTTACAATCTATAATCTAACAGATGGTTAAACAGGACAAAACTCTCACGATTAAAATGCTATCATCCTCATAAATACGGATTTAATTATGCATTTATCAAACATAACACTAATAATATTAAATTGATAATGTGCAAAGAAAAACTATAATTCGCTATCTTAAACTTTATTTTATGGGCTCATAAAAATACTTTTCGCTTGTCCATTCAAGCCACTGATTTATATGTAACTTTCACTCAATATTTATAACCAATAAATTAACAATCACTCTTTAACTACTCGATTAGCGAATGTACAAGTAATAAAACAGCCAAAGAAATATTCGATTTTCAAATTGGAATTTATTGAATGATTTCATTAAATGAATTCAATATAATATTTTCGAATGATAAATTTATGTTATTAGTTAATATAATTAATTTGAAAATGTTTTCAATTTAATTATTTATAATAAGACTGGTCTCAGTTCAATTTATTAAATGAATATAATTATTGCGCGGTATACAGCAGCCAAGTGGACGCCGACGGCTCGTCAATTACGTTACTTGATTCACTTGGAAATGTCTATATAATTCTATAACTATGTAAAATAGTCGTATAGATTATTGTTATATCTTTAATTATATAACTCTACTTATTTACGTATGTGCCAAATGTAATGCTATTGTAAAGATTCTTATAGGTATTATTTATATTTTGGTATTGTTATGCTATTACGACTACCTACTACATTTTGTATATATGTAGGTACCTTTATAATAGTATCTAGTACTATTTCATAGGTAGTACCGCTACCTAATTATAAAAGGACAGCCTCTTGCAGCATTTCTAAAAAAATTACTACTCAAATTTCATACCAGAACATCTGGTATGAACTTTAACTAGTATTTTTTTATGATATTAGTATATCATAAAAATATATTCAATTTATGAATACTGCAATATATACGGAACGAATATATTTGATATTGTCTCTTGTAAATGAAGATAATATTTAAAATGTTTTATAGACCAAGCCGCAAATAACAGTTTGTATTGAATAAACATGATTGGGTAAAATACTTAAAATCATCATGACAACTCATTATGGTTCTACTGATGGTCATTTATGTCTTATTTATTATTTCATAAGAGAAGTATTCAGATCAGGAGGTCTTTCTATATCACGCTGAGCAGGCGGCATTCTCCAGGAGTCTTCTTCAATTTCAAGGTTTTCTTCTCTTGCACTGGTGTATTTCTCTATAGATAGGTATCGGCTGTCTCTTCTATTCCCTGTATAGATTTAGCATTAACTAATATGCATTAGTTACTAGCCATTACTCTCCACTTCTTCAGCAGAAATCTGGCACCTATATGCAATTACTTCTGCATGACCTATATGTCACTTGAGAATGTTTAAGACCTACCAATAACATTTTTATAATTTTATCAGTACCTAATAAGCAGTTTTACTATTACATTTAAAATTACTGTCAATTCTAAATATTTGTAACATCATTCTTATATTTTATCTATGCCACTGTCGCTGAGAAGTGTGGCTCGCGTTCATTGCAACGTACAAATACGGTTTCAGTTTGTATATACGTAATTAGTTCAACATGATTACGGCATTTATAATGATTAAATTTATTATCATTTGTACTAATATTAATATGTTCATAATATGAGATTGGCGTAGCATAGATAGCCTATCCCGATTTATGCCGCAAGGTCGTGAGTTAGAATCTTCGACATCATGCGTATATAATCTATAACTTCACTACTTATCTCATCTTTCTAATTGGTACTGGCTGTACGAATAGTTTAGACAGAGATGTTTGTATAAAATCTGCCTGGTAAACTATTCATTTTATTTATCAGGGTATCAACCGCCTAATGTTAAGAAATAACTATCTCCTATATATATTAATAACACGAAGAATCACGAAGATCACGTTATCATGTGACACCCGTGATACCACTCGCATTTAGTTTTTCCAGAGGATTAAGATGTTATCCTGCAATGTCAGTGCATAATCTGACCCTACAGTCGATATACAGCTTACAAAGCAAGCTAGCTGCTTGTCGGCTAAAATAGGGTAGACAGAGGAGGTAGATGACTTTAAAAAAAACTTTGAGTTTTACTCATATACCTATGTCTTACTAATATTGTAAACGCGAAAGTTTGTGAGTATGGATAGAAGCATGTTACTCTTTCACGCAAAAACTACTGAACAGATTTTGATGAAACTTTACAGTCCTATAGCTTATACATAAGAATAACATATAGGCTATAAATATCACGCGGGTGAAACTACAGGCACAGCTAGTACTATATTAAACACCCGGAACTTTATCCGATATAAAGTAAAGATACGTGATTCATGACTGCAAATAAAATCGTCTACATTAAAAAAGAATATCGCCACACCTTACTTAATTCGTATGCGTACCGCGTAGTCCATATTACATTACGCTCAGAATCGCGTGCCGGCGTCACGATAACTCTGATAACACTAACCAATTTAATAAGACACATCGTCTCCATACAGAGTTATACCTGTTAACTACAATACCACTGAGACGGAAGACGCATTGGGTTTCTTTATACTGGTTAAACAACTTTGTGAGACGTCAACAAATTAAATAATAAAGGGCTTATTTGTATGCGGGATGCGTTTCTCGAATAAAGCAGTCCGTTTAAGAGCAAGTGTCGCCTCTCAAATTATTGCGAAGCTAAAATATTCGCATGTACGAATATGTAAGTAAAACTCAAAGCATACTTTAAAATCTTAGACCAACAAAATTGACAAGATGGATCACTACATACAGTAGTGAAGATTTAAATACACACTCACTTACCCTTACGTACAAATCATCAAGATGGAGCATTACCCTGATTACATGAATATCTAAAATCCTGCTCTAAAGATATATACACTTACTAACCCACATATACATTTATACCTACAACATTAATAAATTTGACAAGCTATTGCAAAATTAAAAAAAATATATATTTTACCAGAATATCACCGAGATTGGTTATTTTTTCGAATTTTATTTTATTTTAATGCAATAGTCAACATTTTGGTTATTGAAGTCCATTTTAAACTATCTTGCGGTTAAATTAAACATAAAAATTATATACGTGAATATTCCAAATTTAAATTAGCATTATAAGTAGTTTATGTTTATAATACCATGTACAGTCGCAACAAGAGCTTCTATTTTAGCGTTAAGTTACCGGAACAACAAGGTACAAGGTCCTGATTTATCTTTTTAGTTTAGTACCATACGTCACAGACAAAAAGGATGTCCTAGTTAGACTAATTTATAATTTTTACTATATTTTATTCGATTAAAGTTACTTATTTATGTACTATAAATAAAAAAAAAACGCACCCAAAAGTCAAAGATGACGTTTAATTGCCACAAAGAGACACAAAGCGCACCAAAGACAATATTTGTTATTTTGACACATTCACACAGACTTTATCTCTGTGCAAACATTACGTTTGCCCGTGAAAGCCATTCAGGGATTTTTTCCCGTGGTATTTGGTTTCCTACCAACAACGTGACAAGTGCGAAGGACTTTTTATAAGAACGGGCAAGTATGGACATGCGTAGTTTTTGTTTATATGCGGCCGTGGGTGTAAATATGACAGGTTTTTTAATTTATTGCACCCACGGACGGATTAAGTTCGTTTAAATGATCGTCACGAGTGCATACCTGTGTATGCATTTCAAGGGTTATAAATTAAAAATAATAATTATGGCCAGTATGAATATTGATTTTATTTTAAAATACATTTATTCTGTTTTTTTTGTATTAAATGTAACGATCTTCATAATATATTTATATTTTTTTTTAGGTTGAAATGGCTGAACAATAAATGTTCTATGAAGATTATATTTTTTTGCAAAATGTATGACATTATATAAATTATTATTGTTAATATTATAATAATCTTCATTATATAAGGTAATAATAATTAGTATGAAGATTTATTATAAAGATTGTTTTGCATGTTGAATAGATTGAATGTCAGGACTACCATCGAGTACATGTCCATAAATCTTTATTACTAGATTAAATAAATAATTTAATTTTTTTTAGTTGTATGTCTCCTATTTATGAAGATAAGTTGTATCTAATATAGAGAGGTGACCCGAGATGCATTATCTTTACTATGTTTACATACAAGAAATCTCGAAAACTACTCTTATGAGTAATAAATTCATACGAAAATTAGTAGTTTGATGGTGATTTTGTTTATCAGATTTTCATATTCTATATAAAAAGTTTTTTTTTTATATTAAAATACGAAAATGAAAGTTTCGACTTACGATTTTGAAAGTATGGAATTGCGTATATTGGTCTGGGTGGTACCTATAGCGATTTAGCACACCGCTTTGCTTCCGATAGTCGCAGGTTCGATTGTGCGCAATCATTTGTGCAGTGCAAACATTTGTATTTATGAGTATGATTGTTTTATCGGTCTGGGAATTTTCTATGTATATTGTGTATGTATTTAAAAAAATATATCTAAGTATTTGTATCATTTGTCTAGTACCCATAACCACAGATAATATAATATTACATCCATAACACAAGCTCTACGTACCATGGGTACGATGGCACTGTGTTAATTGTCCAGGAAAAAAAAATACTACAATGTAATCTATATTACTACTAGATATAGTGGCGCCCTCAACAAGCATATTAGAATTAATTTATTACATGCAACTAAATATATTACACAAATTTTATTTTATTCCATTGATCGTTGTTATAATGACCACACAAGATTATTACATATATTATAATACACAAACTCTATTAAAATAGACTGTATTATTTTAGCCATAAAACTATGACTAATATGTTTATAATTAAGAATAGAATTAATTAATATTATGTCAGAATATAAAGTTCAGTTTTGACATTGTATTACAATTAAAAAAAAATATTTACGTATTAATTTACAAAATAAAACGCGACTTATCTTTATTGCCATAAAATATTTTAAATAATATGTTCAATACGTAGACAAATCATGGATACGAATAATATTTTATTAGGAAGAGGGGTTTGTTAATAACCGAGACCCAATGTTGTTGGACCCAATGTCCATTGCTAGTACTATATTTATTTTATTTACTTAGGATCATAAACAAGTTTACAATTAGAAAACTTAGAACTATTTTCAATAATACTACTCCTACTGAGGTAGACTTTGTACAAAGTACTATATATAGTATATAACTATGCAGTACCGCCAAAAATAGTCAGTATTATTTTAGGGAACCTAAGTACAAATTTTACGAGTACTACTATCAGAATAATCTAAATAAACATTATTATTATCGAATATTCCGTGGCACAAGGATTAATCTTTCTCTGTTGGCTGGTGACTTTATAGCCGCACGCTCGTTTGCCAGCTATTCTAAAAAAAAGTTTGTACCTGTATAATTTTTAACATTATCTGCAAAATATTGATTAAATCTGTTATAAAGTTTATTTAGTTAATATTTACATATGAAACCGACTGTATCAACTGTTGTAATGAATAATCTGATCAATATAACTACTTCTTCATGGTGATGCACACGTTAAAACATTGTCTATGCGTCTCTATTTCAATTCTCTAAGGAAATGAGAATTTCCGACGAACACGTTCATATTTGCGTAGCACTCGACTACAAAGAAAGGCAAATAGAAAAGTAATACGTTTTCCAGGGCGCATAGCGCGCGAGACACGGTGCGCGCGAGTGCGTCCAGTTTTTTTGTGTTACCCTGCCGAGACGTGGTGGTTCGGTGCCCGGCTGGGGCGCAGTCAACACACCGTGATCTCGATCGCTCTCCACTCTTGTTTACTCACTCAGCCCTCAAGGATTAATGCGCGACGCAAATATTTGTCTAAACGTCTGCAGATTGACAGTTCGAACGTAAATTGTTTGTTGTCTTTACCTTTTCAAATGAGCATTTCATTTGGAGTTGAACCCATTGCCTTAAGTGGCGTTCTTGTCGTGTTTACTTTTTTCAAGTTTCGAGAAGGCTCACGCATTGTCTTTAGCGATGTGCGATGTCGAAATTCATTCATATCATGCGTATTTTATATACGATGTGGTTTTTATCGAGTTTTGAAGTATATTCACCAATGTATTCCCAGATTCAGTAGCATTGGCAACTGCTGACGTTGTGATAAGGGCTACACTATAAGTGTATAGGGTAGAAATATAAACTGACATAAAAACTTTTCAGATAACTTGAGGTTGTCAACCACTAGAGCTCGTATTCCAGTGGTTTACAAGCTCGAACGAGAGCATCGTCGCTCTCATGCGATAGTAAAATTAGTATTTCTTTGCAGGGGTATTGCAAAAGCCGGTGAACCAAATAACTTGTCACCTATATCACCTGGGGTCCTATATATGGATCCAGCAGTACACGCAACGTTAAGACGAAAGCAGAGAAGACTAGCCAGAGAGAACCCTGGAGTATTGGCAGCTGTAGCCAAAGGTGCCAGTATGGCAGTTGCTGAGTGCCAACACCAATTCAAGTACAGAAGGTGGAACTGCTCCACAAGAAATTTCCTGAGAGGGAAGAATTTATTTGGCAAAATTGTCGACAGAGGTAAGTCGATTATCAGATTTTGTAATGATGACTAAACACTTGACAAGGGTTCGGCTAATACTCATATCACGCGCTCGAACGAGAAACGGCAATAATAAAAAAGAAAAGAGAAGTAATCATAAAAATAACTTTATAAGCGATTATAGTATTTACCTAAACCTCGTTAATCTATAGTTAAAAGTAATAAAAAAAACATAACAAAGCAGATGATAAAGTGGTAACAATTGAGTACTTATTTTTCAAAATTCATAAAAAGTAAACTAGCAACTTACAAAGAGGTAAGGCGTGATATTTAAAATGCTTTGTGAAATCACAGCTCTAAAATATGTACAGTTTAGCCCTGCAAAAAGCAATGAATACAAAAAAGGCTTATATTTTTTTACTCCTAATTCCGGCTACAAAGAGTAGCTACAAATTAAGTGATATCTTTAGTTGGCAACCCTTTTAAAAGATTTTATCTGTATTCAACAAGAGGGTAGCGAGTCGGGGGCATATTATAAAGGGCTCATCAAGATAAAACATCCCGGATCAATTACATGAGACCGAATGACGTTTGAGTTCCCGTTTCTCTCTTTTTTATTTTTATTTTGAATGTGTTCCATTTCGGATTTCTCTTTTTAAATGCTTTATTATTTTGTTATAATTAAGAGAATTTACTTTGTTTATTATTGGTATTATTTATTTGTTACTTTTTATTGTTTAAATAAAATAAAAAATTAAGCATGATCTATATTATATGATTAAATATATTGACTTAATAATAAATACCATTTGAATAATTAAAATGCATGTGTCTATTTTACAAACTAGTCATAATCACGCCAGCGTGAATAGATACATTTTGTTGATCTGAATGGATGTAGATTGCTATCAATAGATACAAATCAGCTAATAGATCTCCATTTGCTTTACGATATCGCTTCACAACTCTATTTAAAAATATCTAACATAAATATCGGTAGGTGTTTTAAGTATATACATTGATTTAAAGCTAAACAATGTTTATAACTCTCATTCTTTAACAGAATACTTAAAAAACTATAATGTTTTCTGTTCGCATCTAAAATCGTATTGCGTAGGTTTAATAAAATTACAATGTTATATATTACTTTTACAAAAACGAAGTAATACCTTTTAATATTTAGAAGTAAGGTTCAGAATACTTTGACCTTGGATTGGTTGACGACAAAGTGTTATTTGTAGTTTGAATCAGGGCTGTCCTATCTCCGGTGTCCGATTACGATTCATTGTACGCGATACGGCTTATTATGAGTTTGCGAACATCTGGTCTTTAAACATTATTCGCTTTAATAGCACAAAAAGCAGTTGTGATTCACAAATTGTTTTTTAGTCTGCTTTTTTTTAGCGTGGATAAATAATTTGTGTAATCGAAATACCAAATGTTTTGTAACAGTTTTTATCGATGTGAAATATTAATAAACTAAAAAACTTACAACAAAAAGATTTCAATGGATCGAAGTTCACCGCGCTTGCATTAGGGGGTTATCTCGAAAATTAAGAGCGCTCGCCTCCGCGTATCTCCGTCTAATTCGATCTTATTCCGAATTCGCCTCGATAGCGATATCGAGACGATGCGTTACGACGGACTGTGCACCGGTTATTGACCCACGTTTCTAACGTTAATGAATTGTGCAAGCGCCTTCATGTTTCTATTAGTTCGGATGCATTTCGAACACTTTGAAGTCAAGATAAGAATGAAATGAAGAATGAACGAATGAATAATGAATGAATGCAAAATAAATCTGGATCAGAATAATTTGGTGATTTATGTGCAGAATTACTATTTTTTGCAACTAACTTGTATGTTCTTACATACAGCACTACATTCTCCAGGTATGAGTATTAAGTACTAAGATTCTGGATTAAATGTTTATAGTCTTATAAATGGTAGAAGTAAGAAATAAATAAGAATATACTTACAGACAAACAATGTTATCAGAAACATAGCTGTTTCTAAAAAATTTGGCAAATAATAGACATTATTAAGCAGCAATAAATTCGGATAATTGACAATAAAAAAAAAACTTAGATGAGGTCAACTGAATCACAAAATACGATTTTTAATTAGTGCAAATGTGTTGCGATATGCCATTAAGAATTAAATATTCATAGAATAGTAAATTGGTAACAAATTGCAATTAGATTTATATGTTTACACAACATTAATATTATGTTATGATAAAGAAAAAGATCCAACCCGGGGTCGACACTGCCTTGAGGCGAATCCAACCAGAATAAAATGCGTGAATGAGCAGGTAAATCAAAAGAATTATTAAAATAAGGCTCGAATCCAATTTATTTATGTGTCCAAAATAAAGTTTATAAATGGAACAAAACCAATTAAACTAAAAAAAAACAAACTTTATGACCGTTACCACTGGCCGTTAATTCAATCATTTATCATCTAGACTAAATCCTACCAAACAATGTCACACAACGTAATATTTATACCATCATAAATTCATTTACCCATAACAAAAATAATACTAACAGGTATAAAATAGAACAGAATGAACTATAAAAGCTAAGTACCATTTTTCTAAATTAAAAGCCAGATACAGTATGAGAAGCCACGGGACCACCATCGTAATAATTTTACTCGATAAAAAAAGCAAAAAGGAGATTACAAAATTTATGTTATATGCGTGTGCATTTAGAGCATATTACTTTATTAAGGGCAGGCAGGGCGGGCGAATCACGCGGCTGACTCCATATTACAGGCCAGACGCAAATATGCACGATAAACATTTTAATACATTGTAATTACGTTCATTTGAGTAACGCATAAAAACGTACAACCGACCGCGGCGGGGGACCGTCGTATCTTGCTACTCATTAAAGAAAAAAAACGGCAAACTTAACTGAAATCTATATAGAAATGGTCATCAAATATCTGTATAGATTTGTTTCGAGACATAATTAAATTCTGTGCGTACAAAGCCCTCCTGGATGGGACACGAATAATTACTAATTTACACGTTGACACTCCATTGACGCGTCGGACACGACAACTTCAGTTCATTGTGGTGTAAACCTCAAGGATCGTATTAACACAAATGATGACAACGGCACAATAGTTTGGCCTTTATTCGACGTGCCATTGTCGCCCCGAGAATAGAAAACTGTATGGTTCGGAATCCCGCGGCGAGCCCCCTGCGGCGTAGTTTAGCGACGCGACTCTTCTCAAAATGAGTCCACGGAAGCCAGATTTACACCTAACATACCTCCTAATAGCAGGTAATTTGGTCAATAAAGTCCCTTTATTTTTTTACATATTTCCTGTTTTGGTGTCTCTGTTAGCCCCCGAGATTCCATCGTCGTGGGTGGATAAAACATATAAAACGATCGACACCGAAAATAAAACGGATATAAAATGACCTCGACGAAATATTTAATGCATAATTAGATAAGCGTTTTGGGTTTTGTGGCGTTTGAATTGTTTTCGAGATAATACACGTTTTGTGAAACTGAAATGGGACGATTAAATTTCGATGTAGTTGCGGTGACGGGCGAAGTGTTTGTTGCTCCTTTTTATCGAACGATGCAGCCTCTTGTGATTTTCGAATTTATTGTTTACGAACAACTCACTTAAAAATAAATTATTTTCGGTGTTTTTTTCTCGAGTTTGAAAACAAATGTCCATTGTGTGAATGGGTACTGTGAATCGACGTGGTGGATAGTAGCGAGTGGTAGCTGCGAGCTCTTTGTGCCACTCACAATGAGTGATATACGACCGACGTAATTTCGAATTGTCGCAGAGAAGCTTCGGAACGCGGACTCAATGTGAAATTATCGCCCATACACGGCATAACGAAAATGAATTATTGCTCTTTATTGCCCCATCTCACGTCGTCAATATCGGTACTTTAGCATTGAAGTAAAAATCACCTCCGCAGTTCTATTTCTGTTTCAATAGCCGCAGAAATTGTAATCTCATTAAATTCACGAACGAATTTTAAATGTATGGGTATAGAATAGAATGAATCCAAATATATAGAAGTGATTCATCTTTTGATACATTAATATGTTCTTGTAAAAGTCTGTTTAGATACGTTACAAATAATGGCGTCAATGACTTCATCATTTATCGATAAAGCTGCCCGATAGACCGATTTCTAAACCGGACAAACATCTTATTATAAAACGAGTGATTTATGGCTGTTTTGAGTAATTACGTCTCATCAAATTTGAATAATATAAAGTCGTCATAAATAAGGCACAAGAGACGCGAGACACGATGCGCGAAACCCTCATAAGTCAATCCTTCAAATTAATCTTGTGGTAACACCTCGTCGTGATGGCTTAATGCGGACAGGAACATATTTAATTAGTGCATTAATTTTGAATTATTTAATGGTTTACTCTGTGAGGCCAGGTGTTCGTCAAATGTCAACAGTGATTAAGTTTTATTTTACTGAGCGGATGAGTGGACACGAGGTAGGATTTACGAGTTTTTGACTTTTATAAATTTTCAACGCCTCGCCTTAACTGCCAATCCGTTGGGATGGAATTATCGCTCGCTGCTCGCGTTGTAAACCGACTTCGGGGCCATTTATTATCTGCACAGATAATCCACGGACAGCACTTTATTATCAGTTATAATAATAATTTACTTTTATAGATCCACATTATTTTTGTTTGTTCTTATTTGATAGGTCAAAATTACATCAATAAAATAATAATATACATAATTTATTTCAGTATTTTGAATAGATGAATTAATAACTTTTCTGTTGTACATGGTCGACGTCAGATTAACATTCTAGGTGTCTAATTAGGATAATAAAGAGAACATCTATTATGTTTAATACCATAACTAATACACCCTATCGAATGAAGACTTCTTACATCTGTCATAATTTTTCTACGTCGCGATTTATTCGCATAACGCGACAATCGGATTGTAGGTCGTGAGCGCACCTGGTATAAATTATTCAATTATTTATAGTAACACAAATATTCGTCTGTTGTTAGTTCCAAATAAATAATCACTACTGTCCGATGTCAAACGAGTTATTGAGGCTTGGCGATGATTCATCTACTAGACGAGCCTTAAAAATTCTCACAGAGCAATTAAAAATTGTTTCCAGTTGTTTATATGTATAATTGGTTAGATAAAATTCCGTTAGATGATGGTTAGATAAAGTAAAAGTAACTAAATAAAAATCTCAGCGGGCATAGAGTTTAGACATCTGTCGCGGGACAGATGTTTAGACATGAGGACCGTGTTAGAGGATGTGCGTTGATCAAAGTATATATGGTTATGGACCACCTGGTCTATGCTTCTAACTGATATACTTCAAATTTTAAGGGTATATTAATAGAAGTATATGATTTACGTATTGCGTTGCAACCAAATATGTTTATATCAGTAGTGAAAATTAACACTAATAATATTATGAATAATACTTAGGTACCTACTATTAAAAATAAATCGATTAATAAATTAATAAATAAATTTATTTACATAAATAATATTTATTGTCTTTTATATTAAAATAAAAATATTTTAGGCAAACAATATATGTAAGATATAAATTGTCTAAATAATTAATTATACCTAAATTTAAATTTATTACATACTTTTAGAGTTCTTTAATAGACAGTCTCAGTTTTTCGCACTTAAATTTCCGCTTAAAAGTAATGAATACTTAACCCTGAATAATGTTCTTAGATTTAACTATTTGATATAGATCATATATTTCGAAATTTGCAATAGTTAGAATGTTATTTTTAATACAACTAACTAGGAACTTCACATTCCGTCAGCTGTAGGTCGTGCACCTATCGAATTAGCCGAAAGCGATTACTTTACGACTGTTATTTACGTGTACCTACTATCTTTAATTGGCTAGCACCTATTCGTTATAGTTATTTAAGAAAACGTTCGAACTCATTACGGAAGATAAATGCACCGCTCGGCGTCCGCTCGCATTCGCCTTGAATTAATTTCGTTCGAACATTGAATGATGGCGAAATTGACATTAAAAATCCCGGTCGAACGTCTCAAGTAATTGCTGAATAAAATACTTTTGTATAACATCCAAAAGCGAAGCACAAAAAGCGAATCCCCGAGCGGTTGCCGCTGTGTGCGCGCCAGTAATTTATATCCGTACACGATGACAACTCAATAAAAAAATGATTTCATTTGCTTATTGAGTCTTTAATAATGCTGGCGCGGGATTCGCTCGGCCTGTTCCACATATTATTATTATAAATAACAACAAATACGCGTTCTTATTATTTTTACATCCATACAAGGGTCCGTTTTTTTCCGATTGCATTTTATTGTAGGCTGCGAGGTGGCCGGAAGCCCACCAAAGGCGCACGCGAGCCGCAATATATTCCTAAGTGAATGGCATCAGCCGCTGAGGTGACATGTGATTACGTGTATATTAGGACGGTATTAATTACGCATTTTATTTTTATTCAGATATTCCCCGATCGCTATCTGAGTCAGCGGTTTTATAGCCCTTGAGGAATTTCATCATAACCTTGACGCCGCACGAGCGAAAGCTTAATGAGATGGGCTTCCACCAACAATAGCTCTGTTATTAATACGTATTATGCCGTAAAATTACAATGTCTACGCATGCGAATTAATAACAAGATAATGTCCATACACGACAATCGGGAGAGTTTATGCACAGTTTTTAATGAGTATACTAAAAGACGTTCATTATTCATCGATGTCCAGTTTTATCCGTTAATAATATCGTCCCACTGCGAGCTCGACTCTCGTAGACAATGAGTTGGTATGGTATTAATCGATAAAAGTACCAGGGCTATTAAATCGATATTAAGAGAGAGAATTCGATGCGCGCCGTACCACTTGTAATGATCAAATTTATAATCTCTCGGGTAGGTAAGAGGCACTTCTTTTATTTTCAATCGTCGAGATATACCCTCTCTCTTTTAATTGTATTTTATGAGTATTTGATTCTAATGCTGGGCCATTAATTATTTATAGTATTCGATACGGGATGAGAGCATCGATTTATGCATTCGTCCGTTCGAGATGAATGAATGCTGTGCAATGATTAGTTTATGCTCAAATATGTATGTTGTTATAAAATCACATACTCCGCGGTGGGTCATATCCTTATAATGACAGTCACAAAATTAATTTAATATCAAGTAGGCATTCAATATATTTTTAATTTTCTAAATTGAAAAATAACTACAAAAGAATTCAAAAAAGTATTTGACAAAACCAATTCAGTAAAACATTGGGGTCCAAGCCCTCGCCATCTGCAATTCGTTGATGAGCTTGAATGTTTTGCGTATCGAAATTTAAATACCTATCAGACTTATTTGAAATGATATGAGGTTTTTTGTCCCCGAACCCAGATAATAAATATTGATTAAAATATGATACCTTTTGTTGAGGCTTTGTATTTATTTTAATGTCACAAATATTAATATAAAAATAACTAATCAAATGTTAATATAAAAATATTTACATTTTATATTTGTTTATAAATATTATTGTAATAAATAATACGTATTTCTTTTGTCGTAGGTTGTCGCGAAACAGCGTTCATCTACGCTATAACCAGCGCTGGTGTGACACACGCTGTCGCTCGTGCGTGTGCTGAAGGATCTATCGAGTCTTGCACGTGCGATTATTCGCATGTCGATCGCGCTCCACACCGCTCCCGCGCAGCTGCCGCAGCTAATGTGCGTGTTTGGAAGTGGGGAGGATGCAGTGACAACATTGGCTTCGGCTTTAGATTCAGCAGAGAATTCGTAGATACTGGAGAAAGAGGAAAGACACTGAGAGAAAAAATGAACTTGCACAACAACGAAGCTGGCAGAGCGGTAAGTTACAATTTATCTCGTCTCACGATTGGTCCCTCCCATACTCATCCATCAATACCAGTTATCCAATCGCCACTTAACAGTAGCACCTTATAAACATCCATTAAACAAAACAGCCATCGAGTCGACAACCATTGTCAACGGTACGTGTTTACATTACCATTACGGTTGACGATCGATCGTCGGGCACTTGACATGTCGCTAAGTGTAATATTAATTATGCGTCAGACGGCTCGGCCCATCGCGCAACGACTACGCAACAGGCACCCATTCGTTGCGCTCGCACATCTCCCTCCCACCGTACACCCACATTTGCATATTCACTGTCCGTTCCTTCCCAAAATCCATCAAAAAGGGACTGCATGCGCCTCGAGCCACCCAGACGCATCATTAAGCCACGCGCTTAATTCCTGTCACGGCGAACGCACTGGGTGTCCATCTGATGAATATTCACAACATTCCATCGATTGTTTAACACATATTTGGACACTAGACTGTATAACATTACCAGATATCTACATGTGAATGAATAAATACCGTCGCACATGTTCTCCGAAGCGCCTGCGCTTGGAGATAGGAAAATATTGACTGTCTCCAATCCTCACGTCATTTATCTATCTTCTAAGAATGATAAATGTCCCTGGAATATGATTTATGATCAGTCCACACGCGGTGACGACCGGCCCACCACTTCACGATTTGTAACAATTTGCTTGATCGTGAGATGCGATCGATGGAGTGCGCTTAAAAGATAATCGATCATTTGTATCAACGCTTATCGAAAGAATTTAAAGATATTTAGACATGACCAGAGACCTCCTAGTTCATAACTTGGAAAAAACTTTGACTATTTAATACTAATTATTTTATTTTGTTCACAGCACGTGCAAACAGAAATGCGGCAGGAATGCAAGTGCCACGGTATGTCCGGATCGTGTACAGTAAAGACTTGCTGGATGAGGCTACCGAGTTTCCGATCTGTGGGTGACGCACTAAAAGACCGTTTCGACGGGGCCTCGCGAGTCATGATGCCTAATACTGACTTGGAAGTGCCGGCACAAAGGAATGATGCCGTACCACATAGAGTACCGCGAAAAGACCGATATAAGTTTAAACTGAGGCCTCACAATCCAGACCACAAATATCCAGGGAATAAGGACCTTGTATATTTAGAGTCTTCGCCTGGGTTTTGTGAAAAGAACCCCAGGCTCGGCATTCCCGGTACGCATGGGCGCGCCTGCAACGATACCAGTATCGGTGTCGACGGGTGCGATCTCATGTGCTGTGGTCGGGGTTACAAGACAGAGACTATGTTTGTAGTGGAACGGTGCAATTGCACTTTCCATTGGTGCTGTGAAGTCAAATGTAAAACGTGCCGTACAGAAAAAGTGGTTCACACGTGTTTATAGGCGTCCATGAGATGCTAATGACTGGTACACTTGTGATCAATAACTCTACATATTTAAGTGTTGAACGGTTGTGATTGTGACTAAGGAGAGAGTGCAGTGGACCTGTTTAAGTACTCGAGAGCAGATAACGGACCTTGTATATAATCACGTCACTTTTTCATCTATCGAAGTCGTCGAAATCGTATTTAATGTTGACTAATGTACATAGTTCTGTTTCACTCTTTATATACGATAATTGATGCGGCGTGAAATTAAAATAAGCTACTCGTTCGAATAATTTATTTGGCTATTAAGTGCGAACATGTGATCTAGTAACGTTATTCTCTTTTTTGTGGACACTGACGTTAGGAAATTAATGATACCAGATTAACGACGATTTATTTATTGCAGTTTGTCATCTACATTATTGAGATTCGGTTTATTGATTTCCTTACGCTCAGCTAGGTAATTAAATTTTAGATATCACTACGCGCGGTAAGCTAAAACCAAGTGGAAATATTATGCGAATGCTTACGATGACTTTGACTGGTATTTCTTAATATCATTTTCAAAGTTTATGTCCAAGTTATGAAGGAATAATCCCTTGTAATGGTTGTAATAATCATATGGATTTTATAAATGCTTTCTATTTTATAGATATCCGCGTCTGGTGCGTCGACGCGTAACTGTTTTGAGATCCAAGAGCAAAATTATCTTGTAATTATAATTTCATATTATAATTAAGCCGGTTAATGGAATTTGTGACTTAACAGCATTTGCATAAAGTATCTTCCTGGGTGTCCGCGATCGGAGGTTGCGCTCAGGCTTATCAGTGAATAAGTAGCGCCATCGTAAAAGTGTCCTACATTACGAGATAAACGCTCCCGAGAATTTTAATTAAATATTAAACGAATTAAATAATCAGTATTATACGTATTATATTTGTATGCGTGTCGAGTCTGATATTTCAAAGATAAAGATGCACGCAAGACCACTTGACACTTGTTAAGTATTATACATTTTATACATATTGCTTGTTCATGTAAATTACTATTATTATAGTTAAATGCATGTTACTATGGTGAATTTTTTAGCCATTTCTGTGCTGTTCTACTGCGAGTAGATAAGTTATTTTTGGGATGATACAAATCAATGGAGTGTACTTTTCATTCACCAAATCCCGACGCCCTACTTACCTTTATAACAATTAATAATATTCCTTGAATTCTGGAACTGATATTGACAATAATTATGAAATAAATCACTTAGTCGATAGAAGCAAATTAAACCTCTATATATGAATAATAAACCATTCAACAATTAATTAAATTTCCAAAATTAACCGCTCAATTATACTAATCAAAATTAACATTTGACTCACTTTAATAGATAATTTCTGTGTGATTCTGTTCTGTACTAATAATATCTGACAGTCCAAATTAGACAGTTTGCCATAAAATATAAAAGCTTTATTAATCGTAAAAGTACACTTATATCAACGTGAATGATATTTCATATGTGATATAAACATAGTTTTTAGCTTATAAGTATCGATAGAAGGCTTAACTTAATGCGCTTGTATGATAGGCCACGGCAGTGAATATAATAACTAATACGTATGTTTTTATATAGAAAAATATTTATTGAAAACTTGTTTTAATTTATTTTATTTTACTTTAAAATATGCTTTTTAAAGTAAAATAATTTGGTAGTTTTAGTAAAGAAATCCGATGTTAAAACACTCGGTGTTTTTTAAAACAGGTATTTGTGTACTTACCTATATCTATTTAAATATCGCTTGTATTATTGGATCTCTGTACATAGACTTACTTATGGTAAAAATATAATACAGTGACAGAGTCTAAGTAATGAGGAACTGATAACGCGTCGGATTATAAAAGACTGAAATATTTTTTTTTAATTTCGTAGTTGTAATATCCATGAGTGGATTCATAGGTACAGCCTTTGTTTGGAGTTTTTATAACGAGAACAATTGTGATAAAAAGTATTTTAATGTTATTTAAAGCCAGTTCATAAGAAGTGTCGGAGAGGTTTGGTGCCATTTTTTTATATTTCTTTTTTTTACATCTGACAGTCCTATTCTGTTTTAACAAAATTATTTCCATGTACCAATCAAATTGTCGATATGAAATTAATTTTACGCATGTAAATATTGTCATTAATTATTAATGTTATAAGTTATTTATGTGAATGTAGCATTTTAATATGTTAATATTAAGTAAACAATACAAATGAAATCAGCTGAACTTATCTGAATCTCAAACTTATTGTTGTGTATAAATTTATGTACCTTTTTGAAATATATTTCGTCCATTGACCGCTTTTGGGGTTGACACATTATTATAGTATTGGTTGTACATTAAGCAGTATCTATTTATAATTAAAATATTGATTAGTTGTTACTAAAAATACAAAAATTGATCAAAAATGTTTATTGGTTTTATTTGCCTCAATTTAATGCTGATTATGGAATACAAAATATTCACATACTAACTATACATTAACATAATGAAAGAATTAATAGAATAATTACTATAAAATAGCTATGTTATGTAACTATTTTATATATATTAATGTAGTATGTGAAATGAATATTTTATTTCCTTTTTTCATAATCCACGACTTCAAAAGATATTCATCAGAGTTCATGGTGTTCTTGTCTACAAACACTCATTTGATAGGAAGTGGACTCCTTAGCTCCTATCAGATGAGCTGATAGGAAAAAATGTTCAACATTAAATTACACAATATCTTAAAAAAACTCCAGAACAGAATTTAAAGACTTTGAAGTCACAAAAAATGTCTAAAAGTTTTGTAAAAACTACAAAAGTATGTTAAGTAAGTCTTAAGAATCACATGCATTCAATAGACCGTGCTTTGTCCGTCTAGCAATTGGTCTGTTTGGTGAAATTATAAATTTCTGAAGTAATAAATGAATTGGGCGCTTTTGAATATCCACACGCAATGTACATTTCGATCAATTTGTAGTCTTTTGAGTCTCAATTAAGTATAATATATTATTTAATTGTATATAAGCTCATGTAATTGTTATGAATAGACGTGAATAACTTTACATTTATGTATAAATTTACTATTGTTAATACATGTATTAAAAAAAAGTTAATTTATGTAATGACTAAGTACGTTAAATAAGATTGAAATCCACTTCCGGGCATTTACCAGACAAAATACATCGAAATGTAAATCAAGACTTTCTCATTGCTAACTGACAAAGAATAACAAAGTATCGTCTCGAAATATACGAGACAGTAACATCTCCATTAGACGTTTATCTGTCCGTATTTCGTGTCGAACGTACTTTACAGCAGCTATTAAGTATCGAGAGGCTATTGCTATTCAGTATCTATCTCACTCCCACTACAGAACGAACAGAATAAGCGTTCTCATTTGGAATACGACACGTAGTCGGGTTTGCGGCAACAACCCCTGAGATGTCCACCGCTCGATATATGACGATGTTTCCATTTCGTTATTTATGCGCGTACACTACGTAATGCAACTGTCATAATCTCTGCCATTTTGTTTTATTGCGAACGCAACCGTTGAGATCGGTTTTGATAGCGCGCAATTTTCTGAAACAGCTTTATTTTCTAACAAAGGATCAATGGTTCGTCCGAAATATATCTTATGGCTTTGTTTTAAAGTTCATATTGGTGTGTCGTCGTAACTTGAAAGTGAAAAGTCGATCGGTGTTGGTGGTCGCTGAGGGCCCGAGGCACGTTCCCACGAGTATCGCGCACGCTGGAAAATTTATGTTTATGAACTGAGAAATCTGTCATAAGGGATACGAATGGCGTGGCTGAATCTGAAATAGCGTGAATAATTTTTCACGCTGTAGGATTTTTGCATATTACAAGCGCATTGCAACATTCCTTAGCGATGCACACGTAGGATGTCGATGTAGGTACAAAAATATAATTTCTCGTAGAAAATATCGACGGGATATATTGATGCGGAACATATTCCTGTTAAATTAGAATAGAAATTATGTACATTATCCTATAAATTCACCTGATATATTGCGTATTAGTATTCCAAAACTGAAAGGCCAAAATCTGATGTTTAAGAAGAGATAAAGTACGAAAGAGAATTGTTGTTGGTAATGTAACATAACAGGTAAAAATTACTTATAGGGTACTTTTATTTTGTAGGGCTTAAAAGGGGTTAGAAAATTGTAGTCATTAATAATAGTTTAAAGTATAGATATTATTATTGATTGCCTAGAGATTTCGATTTTAATTCGCATTAATTGAGACAAGTAGGTGCGTATGAATGAAATGAAAAATTTGAAGTAATTTAAAGTTAAATGAGAACATTAATTTCTCAAAGTTGACCATTAAAATATAAAAACAATTATTCAAGTCTGGTATTGGAAGGTCTGCTATTTTAATATATATATTAGTATTTGTAATACATACACTAGCGACCGACTTCGTATAGTGGTGTGTGGGCCCGAAGTTACGGTATACAACCTATATATTATAACAATGAAAACCGTATTAAAATCCGCTGCGTGGCTACGAACAGACGACAACAGTCATTTTGTATTATTCAACTCACAAATCCATGGAAATAAACAATGGTAATATTATAAAGCCTGCTGTTATCAGTTTTGTTTTAAAGTTATAGATGCCGTTTCAATATTTGATTACAATATTTTATACTGCAAAACCTATAAATATTAAAATCAACGTGCACTTATTTCAGTATATCAAAATGTGGAATACCTTTACAAGAAATTCTATTTATTTATCTTGTATTTTATTTATCATGTGCCCAAGAAGTTAGTTTATATTATACTGTAACATTAAATTTAGCATCTCTTTCGTCACTGATGACTAATAGCAAAGTCCATTATCACTATAAATAAATCATCGACAAGTGACGTGTAGGATTGACATCTGTTGACTGAAATTATTGGGGGATTTCCGGAGGGTTTGATTGAAAGTTTCCATTCTAATTATTTTAAAGTTCATTTAGTTTATAATTAAGTTAACAATTAAATTAATTTATTGTTAGGTTTCATTAAAACTTTCCATTAAATTTAAATTAGTAATAAACTATTTTGGGTAAATGAAATGGCAAATAAACGCAAAGTGCCTTCACTTATAATATATTTCAGAAAAAGTGAAGACACTAAGTATAAAATTCTTAGATTTTTTTTAATATAATATAAATCATTAAAATAATTATAAGTATTCGTAATTGAAGTAAACAAAATATACTTTCAATTGATGTTATATATCTTGCATATAACATTATTTTTCTTACTAATTTCAAAGGAAATCGTGTGCTAACTTCACCCTTACAAAATAATCCGGCTCTGAGAATTATACCAAACATAGTTGATGATTTTGCAATACCAACTAAATCAGGAGAAAAATGGGCAATCAAGCGACCTATAAATGACAATGACAATTCTGCGAGCAATTTACAATCACCTGAACCTGGCTTTGATTTATCTGAAGAGGAGATGATTCGGTTGAAAATTTGGTCAAACGGAGTTGTACCATATTACATTGATAATTTGTCTTTTGGTGTGTATTATAGAGGTTTCTTTTATAACAACTTTTGTAAATATAAATAAACAACTATACCTTCAGTAATTGTCAACTGTCGATGCCAGTGTTTTGGTGAACGTAAAACTATAGACATGCTGTTCATATTTCACTGTAAACAACATGCGGAAGCAAGTGTATCGCTATCCCTTAGGTACATTAATTTGAATTGTTATTGAATTTCATTACTGAAGTCAGAATTTTTTTTATTCAAATTATATATTAACTTCTACTAAATGTTACTTAAAATTATATGAACTTAACCTATTTGCTATCAACGTTGTTTGTTATTTTATATCCATATTCAAAGAGTACCATATTTTAAACTCCTGTCTACAGGTAAATAAAGTGATCTATCACTTTATTTTATTAACAAGACGGTATTTAATTATTTTTCTGCTTTTATTTGACATTTGAAGTGTAAATGTAGAACTTTGACAGGTGGTATACTTTCACATAATATTTAGATACACTCTGAAATAGCACCTCTTACATAGTGCAGTGTTTCAGGAGTTTATATTAATTATAATGAAATATGTCCACTCTGACAAATTATTTCACAAAGTACCTACCATTATAAATGTTCATAACAACTATAAGTAAGAACGTATTCTAATTAATTTAACGTATTTTTTAAACCTTTACGTATTCTTTCTCTAAAATAAGACAAAGTACTGCGAGACAGAATACGGAGCTACTTAGAAGTGATCTCAGGTTTGTCTGGTTTACATTTTCTGGAGTTGCCTGCACCACCCGAAGACAAGACTACTCGTTGGGTGTTTTTCATCAACCGCCGAGGACAGTTGTCTTGTGGTGATAATACTATAAAGGAGTTCACCAATACAGGAGTTCAGGTATGTAATTTATTTTTACCATTCTTAATTTATTATTATTATAATCATTTGTACTGTCCTCATTATTTTTTTCATTATAATTTCAGTTCATTCCTAATTTTTGCCACTAGTAGGTACATCCTTCGGACTGACTATTTACTGACATAATTGTATCGTATTGTAAGAAAAGTATCTGTAATTGTTTTTGCGAATTTCAACTACTTCCTGTGACTAACCATTATTAAAAGATTAAATGATTAATTTTAAATTATTAAATGATAATGGGTTGCTTCTGGGTATAAGTAAATAGTTTAAAAATTCGACACCTATATTTGATGCCTACATTACTTAGATATATGTACAGTATTTTTATATTTTTCATATGGAAAGGTCTGTAGCTATCATTTCCATATGGGGTTGATGCAAAGAATTATTTTGTGATTTTGTTTTCTGTTATATTTATTACAAATAGTAATAAATATCAAACTCATGGCTATTAGATAGTTATATCTATAGGTAGCCAAAATGTCTCCTGTATCTATCAGTAAGCATTTTACAGATTGTTCATTTTAAAATTATATAACAAAATTAATTACCTTAGAGTCGTAGTAGTTTATCACATATCTTTATCCGCAAATGGTTTATAATATAGATACTTATTGTTTTATAATTGCCAATATATTTCTTTTTTTTTTTATTTTATACCACTAATACAGAAAGTGGTGCTAGGGTACGACTGCTTGAGTACAAGCGGAGGGATGGCAGAAGTCATTCTGACACTGGCCGGAGTACCACCACAGCATAACGCTCCCAACCGGAATGAACACATTACTGTAGTTACGGAGAATATTATACCTGGTAAACTAAATATTAACAACTAAAAGTGAATTAAGGTATTATTATTATAAAAATAATCTTTTTAAGTCGCTTGAACGGTGTTCTGTTTTATAAAATAAAATAATTTGTATGTATTTTAGATGATTCCTATAGACCTAATGTCGAATTTACGTAGAAACTAAATAATCGTGTGACTACATAAACATAAGAACTGAATAAAATAAAAATACAGATACTATAAAACACGTATATTTTACACGTTTCAACAATATGTACCTTATTAATTATCTACATTAATTCAGTTGATTACTATTAAACGGTAAACATAGCTGGGTATGAAGAAATTGATTATTTCCCTGAATGGTAGGATATGTTATGAGAATTAATAGAGAAGGGACATAAGACCTTGTTTAATTAATAATATATTACTTAAGTTTTAATTATAGTAATAAGTCCAACTAATGAAATCTCACTAAAAGACACTTCTTTTTTTAGAAAAGAAATATTTGTTCGAAGCAGTGAAAGACAACGAATGGTTATTCCATGATTTGAAGTATGACTTCTCTAGTGCTGGACACTATAGCTTTCATAAATACACTGTAAATGGATCGGCGACTATTAAACCAAATGTAAAATTATTTATTAAAATAATTCCCTATAATAACATTTTTATTAGTAACCTAATCATATTTTGTTTTCACGGCTGATTTTAATTAATATTTAAATAATATTATGAAATTTGTCGTGTCTAAATATACAGCCGCAATTTTTTTTCTTTATTAAATTTCAATAGGTATGTATATTATTATTTTCTGAGATTTTAATGCATTTTATTAATTCTATAGTTATATGTACCAACTCTAATTGTTGGTGAAGGTGATGGATTCAGTAACTTGGATATATTAAAAATTAGGATGCTGTACAACTATATTTCTAAGAAGCAACCTAATGCTGCAAGAGTACCAGATTGTATTAAAATATTTGAACCGGGAACAAATTTTACTAGTTATCAAACAAATAACGATGATTATATGGAACCTCGTAAGAAGCCTAATAGATTTTTAGGACTATCCAATGATGAAAAAGAAGCCGATAGCAATGATGATAATAAAAATAATCATAATGAATTTAATCAGCAAACGCATCATGATGATGATAAAGAAAATGACGAATATAATAGTAACCCTAACATAGAAGATGAAGAACTGAACCAAGAAATTAAACTGGTACATAAAAAAAATCATGGTTCTACTAAAAACATAGATATTCTCGGTCACTTATCAGACTATAATACAGATGATATTCGGCGTCCTGTACACCATAAGTCTAAAATAATGTCATAAAATTAGGATATCAGAGAAGTTTCGAAAAAGTGAATAAATATACAAATATTTAGTAGTAGTTTAATTTTTAAACATTTATTGCTTTTTTATCACATTAAAGACATTTTTGTATGTCTCGTTTGACATAGCATGTGTCACATATAACTTCGCAACACCATTTAAATTGGCAATTGCAATTTTCAGTCTCTTTGACCGTCGTATGCTTGTAACCTCTTCGACAGCAGAGCTGATCACAACTATCAGTTCCTGCAGAGCTTACATTGCATTGGCGTCCCTCGGTCCCGAGAGATCCAGTCTTCATGTTTGGGGAACAGAAGTCTGGAGATTCTTCGGAATAGATTATGTCTTTCTTGCCAGGCCTTTTTATACTTGGACTTTCTGGCATGAAACTGTCGCCATCGTTGCTCGCGATAACCTGTCAAAGACAGTAATAAAGTATTTACTTATTTAGTAATATATAATATTGCTGTCAAAAGCAGAAAAAACTGCTAAAAGGCTATCACAATACTGATTATACACCAATGAAATAACATATATTTTAACATAATTATGTAATAAAATGTGGCAACAAACAAAACCTGCATGGTTTTGTTATACTTAGTAAACATAAATTATTTATTCAAGTACCTAATAATAATCATACATTAAAAAACATCTTTAAAATTTTGGCGTTTAAGCCTAATTTAGTAACTAATATACAAACATCCAAATCTCACATTTACAACATTAGTAGAATTATACACTAATAAAATAGGGTTAGATTTACCACTAAAGTAATAGATCTAAAACTGAGAAAAGTGTAATGAAATTATTACTTTAATTTTCAAAATACACATGTTACCTTCGCAGCACCTTCGAATCTGTCACGTAACTTATCGCCGACTTCTCTGAAGGTAGGCATCCTCCACCAGCACGTTCTCAGCATACACGAGCCTGACACTCCATGGCATTTACACTCTATTCTCATGTTATTTTTAATTGCCTGGAACAAATATATGTAATATAAATATATGAGTTAGAATAGATGAGCTATTTAGCTACAGGATAAAAAACAAATAACCAAGGATGAAGTTTCTCAAGTGAAGCTTTGTAAATTAATTGCTAGGTTGACGCTAGATAACGATCAGAAATATAGTACAGTTAGCGCAAAAGCATTTCTTATCGAAATAATAGAGAAGCAATGTGTTTGAAGATGTAGTTTTATATTTATTATTAATAATAGATTTATTTGCATTATCTACTTGGATCTCGGTTCCTTTCAGATATTACTTTGTACCTAAATTTATAGTTGTTAGTGTATGTATTGCTAATATATATAAATCTTCACAGAAATATTTTAAGACATTTTCACATGTATCTGTTGCACTTAAATGTTATTATACATGTTCTTTATTTGTATTATAATTTTATAGTATGTTCAATTATTGGCAGTGGATTATGGAACCTTAGCATTATGGAGTAAGAGTTCTTACTAACCAACCTCCCAGCGTTATGGTTATGCAGTTTGATCATAGTCTTTATGTCGCTTCGTTTTCTGTACCGGCTGTCCATAAATTCCCTGGATTTCTTGAGGCCGAAGCGAACATTGTCACTGCATCCGCCCCACTGCCACCGTTCTGTTGGTACAGTCGATGGTGGGAGAGGGACGGTTGTAATACGTCCTCGACGAGGTTTTAGCGGCGCACCCTATGGAAATAGGATATTAACTTAAATAGAACAGATATGTAGTTAACTTCACTATTCACATTTTGCGTAAAGTAAAATCTTCGACAAATTTGAATTGATTGAATTTTTTTCTTACTAAAAGTATATTTTATCGACCAGTTTCAACCAAGTTTGATTGACAGGTTGTTGGATCACCTTATGGTAGGCAACCGTCGCCTATATACATGAACAGCGCCGCAGTTATCATATTATCATATGGCGCTTGTAATATCTTGCCATCATTCATAACGAATGTAACGACATTCGTATGTTGCCATTCCGGCTGACTATGATGATTTACCTCTGTATGGCTGTAATCTAGTAAATTAGAAGCCTTATCTTGCCTTATATCTTCAACATATACAAGTCTTACAAAGCAAGAAGTTTTGCGCAGGTGGTAGAAGAATGATACGTAGGTACCAAAGCAGACGAATTTTTACAAAGTCTACCTTGGTGAAAAAGTATTTGAATATTGAAGGTCAGGAATTTTCAAAAGAAAATATCGTACTAATGAATATAAGAGTATAAGAACATTTATAGGGTTCTCTTTGATTTATTGTCGATTATCATGGTGTACATTTAATGATGTTCACCATACTTAAATTAAAAACCTAGCTTATTAGATAACACTACCTTTTCACATGAACACTCTAAGAGAGAACCAGCTGTGCAAGCTCTCGTTATGGCGTATGTAACTCCAGCTGCCGTGATTGCATTTACGAAACCTGTCTCTCTTGTGTCTGCAAAAATAGAAAACAAATGAATGGTAAGTATCAATAATACAATGATATCAAATTGGTGATAAAATTTATAGCATGTATATTTTCCTCCTATGTAAATAGTGATAAGTGGTAACGAAGAATTAAAACAATGTGTTACCAGGAACTATTTGTTCCCAGGACGTATATGCAACAGGATTAATAATAATAATAATAATAATTTATTTATAATAATAATAATAAATTTCTTATAATTAATGTTAGTAGATACGTAGAGACACAAAATACACACTCAAAAATAAAATACAAATAATATCAATAATTAATATTAAATTAAATAATAGCATAAAAACTATAAGAGAGAAGAAATTTTGACAAAAATCTTATATTAATTATACTCTGTCATAAATACCTAAATAACTTTGCAGGTTGTCTATTACACACAGTAAAAGTTAACTTACTAGTATTCTTCTTAGAAAGAAAACCTTTCCAGTAGTAAATGGAAAGATAATTTCCTTAAACACATCCTTGATCCCGCAATCGCAGGAATGAACTTGTATGACAGGTTTGTAAATGACTTTTGTAAGTTTACTATGTCTTTTTACTTATCTTTTATTAATGTACAACGTAAGTTTTATATACATTATTACTTAATGATTGATCTTTTTACCCCCTTTTTGAATAAATGTGGTAGGTACAATTAGAAAAAAAAGCGAAGTATAAAACACTGACCGTTCCCGCTACAAACACTGTGGAACCTGTATCAAAGTAATTGCACACTATTCATTCATTATAGACAATTTATACCATTTACAGTCATATAGAAATAAAACAGTGAAGAGTAAGTTAATACAAAATGATACAAAGTGAAGCGTTTGACCCAAAAATCAATATTCACACGAGGCTCGTAATAAACATTGATGAGCTTCACGAATCGAAGGTTCCATCCATAAAACATTTATGGGCGAAGTACGGTACCAGCAGACCTCGAGCGAGTCGACAAGACTTAGTAAACATTACCTTTTCTGTATTTATAACTATAAAAGATTTTTTTATAAACAACGAAGGTGGAATCTTAAGAATATACTTCGTACGTCAGCGAAGATCATTGTAGACCCCTTACAATCTTGTAATTTTGCTTGCATACTACGAGTAGTTACACCACACCTTCATTATCGATTGATGTAAAAGAAAAACTTGAGTCATAAAATCTGATACACCCATTGATATTTTTTTATCTCTGAATCCTTCATATTTAGTATGTACCGATGTGGTGGCGATATTAATAATGTGACTATTTTCTACGCACACTATTAATACTGATTAGTCTTCATACTTCTTCTGAATCTTAATTTTTATTTCTTTTATCTATAGATTGAGAAGACTTTATATGGTGTAGTCAGGAATGAAAAATGATTTACAATAGAGTTTATATAGTTTTGGAGATGTTGATGAAATTTCCTTATATATTACAGACTACACTGAAAGAGATAACTATGAAAATATAATGTACAGATTTATGCTTTTAGATATAATACAAAGTTTTTGCAAAAGGGTAGACAAGAATGTCTAAATATCATCTCTTAATATGATGTATACTCTTAATGAAACAGAATATTATCTTCAACTTATTAACGAAATATTAAGCAATAAATATCTTGACATCTCAACACATTTGCTTGGCTATCTTATGACTTACTCGTAAGTACGCTGAACTATTGAACAGTGTGTCAATGATTTTAGAGGCACTCGGCTATAACAATTAATGGCGAGTCAACCGATGTTGGATGAATATTCAGACGCCATGAACAAAGTGAAAATTACTGCACAACTCGCTGAATATGCGTCGACCATCATCACTGTGCGGTATGTTTTTGTTTAGGTCGATGACTTTATATTAATGACCATTGGATGGTTTTATACCCCTGTATGATGGTATATGATGCTTTTGTATTCATAGCTTTTATGATAGTTGCACTGCATATTTTATAGATATTGTGTTTGTTGATTAACTGGTACGATAAATTATTTATAGAAGAAAGATATTACCTGAACTATGCATAAAAATATTAATTGATCGATAGGTTTGCATTGAACGAAAAATTTATAACAATAATGACAAAATTATAGATTGAATAAAGAATAATTAAAATCGCACATTCTTTATGGAAAACATTATGTATATTTAGAAAAACATAGATATTGTAGAATTAAACAGATTTTTTGTTCGACTTGGTTAATATATATTTTTATGTTTTTGAGAATCTATTTCTCATTATTGGATTTCTGTTCTCAAATAAAGATCCCGGTTATTAAATGGAAAGCTAAAACATTTCGCAGACGCAAACAGTTACAAGTGTGGTAAATCATTAGAGGTTACGTTTCGCATTTGCTTATTTATTCGCAAAAAAATACATAATATGTATGCATATCAAAACAAATTACGATTGTCGACTAGATTTTTTTGTGGTTGAACATGGAACGACGCTCCCGCCTGTGTTAACGGTATAAGCTGGCAGGCATATAGAGGACGACGATGGTATATAGTCAGGTTATTTAACCTAGTGCAATGAATTCACTAGTAATTAACTACTATGATTTAGATAGATATATAAAACTTTTATTTCTGTTAAAGGCGCACACGCATACAAGGAATCACATTTTAA